AACAGAAAACTTCTCAGGGGCTGCCCTGCAGAAGTTTGTTAGTAGGTCGTCTGCAGACATGACCAAACCTGGGGTGGAAGTTAACTGCTCGAACTCTGCAAACAAAGATTGCAGGGATCCGCTGTAACGCTGCTGGGCCAGGCGAGCAATCCTGTTAGCAGCTTTGCGGGCCCGCTCCTTGTCTGCAAAGCGGTCTTCCAGGGCCTGCAGAAGTCTGTCCACCCCCAACCCAAAAGCCCAGTCCTCCATAGACTGCTGCTGACGACTGGAAGTTGAGGTGGCCCACTTCAAAGGGGGCCCTCCAGCAGTCCCAGAATCGTGGCCACCTTGGTCTGTTCTGCACAAACAAAGCCCCTCAAGTAGGCTCTGGTCCCAGCAGCCCAATCCCCAACATCAATCTTTGGGTCATCCCCTCTTAACTTGTTGGGGGCAGGAATCTTGGGACCCCTTTGATCCCGTGCTACAATAGCTGCAAAGGTGGGCTTGGCCGTGGCTTTTTGGGAAGGAGGTGGTGAAGGGGAAGATGGACGTGAACCAGAGGGGGTTGAAGGAGGAGAAGAGGAAGGTTTCACTGAGAGAGGAGGAGACTGGGGAACAATCAGTTTGGCGGCTGTCTGCTGAATTTCATTCAGTAGCTTGGACTGTTGAGCTGCCAGGTCGTCCACCCTGCGCTCCAGACGATCGATGCGGTCATCCCAATTAGTGAAATAAGAACTGATGGCCTTGTGCTGCAGAAGGGCCCACTCCGCCAGATTCTTATTCACCTGGGAGCAGCGGTCATCTGTCAGGACCTTGTTTAGCTGCTCCAACAGGTACTCCCTGTGAGAAGTATCTGTTGCAGCCTCTAACTCCGCCGCCTCCTGTCTCTCCAACTTTGCTAGCAGCGCCTGCTGCTGCTGCAATCTTTCCTGTAGCTCCTTCTTCTGCTGAGTAGCAATCAGAGGAGTAGTAGGGGTGGAGGTAGAAGGTTGTGGTTCTTCTACCTTCATCACTACTTCTACTTGTGGCTGCTGCTGAGCACCCTGGTCCGCCATTTTCCTCTTTCAAAACACCAAAATAAACAGACAACAGAGAAGTATGCAGCAATTTTCAGCTTCTCTCAGACTCTCAGAAATCGCTGCTTTCTCATACACAGAGGTAGGTGGGGGAATAGGCAACAAACGATTTGGGTTGGAACAGTTCTCTGGGGTCAGGTGTCAGACAAACAGATAGCCCAGTAAAATCTCTCACACAATTTCCTTTTACTGACCCTGCACCACACTAGAGTTCGTAGACGCAACCACTACTCTTCCAGAGAGACACTAGATTTCCAAAGCCCACTAGAAAGCAAGAGTAGTCAGTGAGAACGATAGAAGTCAGGCAGTCACAAAATTGTTTTGGAAGGAAAAGAGTCAACAGAGGGTAAGAAATGAGCAGAGGAAGGTAGGAGAGTGATGGCTATGGCTGTCATGCAGTCTGCGATTTTCAACTTCAGTCGCTGACAGACAGATAGACCATCTATACTAACTAATCTAACCCTATCTGAATCGCAATACAGGGGTGTGCATGGAACAGACTCACTTCTAGAGTTTCTTGCAGAGTTGGGTGAAGATTTGGCTACGGCAGACTGAAACCCTCATCTCGCCAGTTTCTTCCAGAGCTTCCTCCTCTCTGTCCCACGCACAGAACCACTTCAAACTTGTTGATCCTCTTCAAAATCCTGAGGCGCTGCAACCCTTTCTGCCAAATTCCCCGAATCTGACCCTGTGGCACCCAGAAGCCAATAGGAAATTATCTTGCCAGAGGTCCCCTCAGCCGCTGATGCTATAAATAGCCCCAGATGGGGTTATTTTCACCCAAGATTGACACGGGCTGTCAATCTCCCTCAACGCTGCCCAGGGATGGAGCCGCTCAAAGATCGCTGAAGTCCTCAGGCGTAATTCACCACTCTGAGGCAATTCGCTATCCTGCCCTCAGGGTTGGCTATGGAGAAATAGCCCTGGTCTCGCCACTTCCTGACAAGCACCCTGATAGGCTCAGTGCGCTTGCTCAGTACAAACACTGAACTCCTGACTGCTTGAAATCTTCTTCCCTGCTGACTCAGTACTGGGGAAGATGAATCGCCATGAACCTCTCGCCAGTATATCGCCAGATGAAGAAGATGTCCCTTTGCACTCAACCCTCAGTGCTCCAATTCCAATCCCGCTGCGATACCAACCGTTATGAACTTGGTTGTCTGACGTTTTTTACCGCCGCTCACACTCAGACAATCTCATACACGCCCGTACATGCATAAGGGAAGGGGGAGAGGAGACAGAGTCCAACTGTACACAAATCAGAGTAAACAGCGAAGTTCAGCCATGCACAGATGGGGAGAAGACACTGCGTGATTCTCACTCTCTGACAAACTCCCAACAACCAATCACAAGAAGAAACCTGCGAGGATAACAGTTGGAATTCACACCGATGATGAGCCAAGTAA